GAAAAAAAAAAAAAAAAAAAAAGAAAAGAAAAGAAAAGAAAAAGAAATATCACCCAGCCTGCTCTAACATGTACCAGCTGGCAAAGTCTCTGTGGAGGAAAGGTTACTTTGCCAGCTAGAGGTGATTGAAATTTGAGGATGGGGGGTGAGGAGGAGAGGGAGACTATTTAATTCTTCTTATTTAAAAAATTCAGTTTTACCTTTGATTTACTCTAGCGTAAGTAACTTGAGTCCAAGGGCCATTGCATCTCCTTAGATTTCTTGTACTGACATTCTCTGGAAGCTTTATGCTCTTGGTTTTCTCTTTCATGACTGCACTTAGCAATTTTGCCCACTCCCAGCACATGCCGTTCCAGGTAAGAGTATCCTTGTACAGCAAGTAATCCTCATTAATAAATACTAATTTCAGGCCCTATCCTGCTACCATGGCTTCACTGGGAGCAGAATCCAGCAATTTTGTGAGTGTTACTTAAGAAGTGCATCTGAAGTGCACGTAACGTGGCCTAGAAACAGCCTCCCTGGGACATAAATAAGTTAGGACAGGATGTCTCATCATCAATAATTAACATAAGGAAATAAAAATGTAGAGACATTTATAAATTTATAAAATTATGAGATTCAGAAACTATAATCCAACTTCTGTCCAAATCTCATCTGAATATTTTAATAAGCCATGGGAATTATCTTATTCAGGTTTCTTTGTGAGCTTTTGCCATATTTCTGGCAATTCAGTTATGTAACATTTTAATGTTTTAAAGATTTTTATTTTAACATTGACATTAGTTTGATTTCAGTTTGGGGCAAAAGTTCAGCTCAGATTTTCTCTTATCTAAACAGACACACTAACACCTCCTCAAAACCAATTAAAATGACTGTGCCTGAAACAAACCATTCGTTTTATAAGAAAAAAATGTAATAAAAAATGAGAGACTTTGTTCATTGTTTTTAGATTGTTTTAGCTAACAATTTAATTGAGTGATATGGATGGTGGGCTGAAGATTAATAACTTCATGACACATCCAAAGAAAGTTAAATATATTTTTGGGTATGACTGCTATGTACCTTACCAGTGAAAAACCCTTAGGTCAGAATGTTAAATGATACTTACTTTCACCACTGAGAAATCTTAAATGGAAATCAAGAAAGAAATTGTATCATCTCAGAATTCAACTGAGGTGTCTTATGGAATAATAATAATAAAACTACCTAATATTGAAGATTAAGTGATAAACCCCATTGCCTTTCCATTTCTAGTGCACATAAGCTTAGCAATTAGTTAAATGGAAGGATGTTCTGGAGGGCATGGAATTTTGCCAGAAATCAGTCTGTGATATGATGTGGCATTTGCATGCAATCTATTTTTTTTACTATTTTTACGAAACCTAAATGGATTTAAATTACTGTGGGCCCAAATCACTTCTTTGTTACTTCAGTTTATGTCAGTGAAACATCAACATGGCTGGATGAAACAATTATATGGATTTAAAAGGTAGGAAAATTACTGTACAGTGGCTGATCGTTGTGATTGTTTTGTGTATCCACTCTATTAGTGTTACATGGAAGCTAAACTGCAATAAGTTTACCCCTGAATGAAATAACCACTAAATTAGCATGCTTTAGTTTTCACTTCTCACAGAATGACAGATGAAACAGTTATAACAAATCAGCTTGATACACCATAAATTCCCCTTTCCTTTTAACTCAGTATAAAAATGTTATCTGTCCACACCTTACATAGGCATAAGCCTAGAATAATATAGGAGTGAATAAAGCCCTCAGAGCATAAGGAAAGCTACCAGGAGAACAGTTTTGCAAGAGAGATGAGAAATATTTTTGCTGGTTCATGCATGGAGTTGTGGACAGTGCCATTGAGAGCCAGATCAGTATCTATTCAGATTTTCATAACTACCTAAGCTGTATGCACATCAAAGTCCCGTTGGTGGAAATTGGGCACCTCATCTGCTTAGCCCCTTTTTTTTAATCCCACTGAGTGTGTCTACACAAGATGTTTCCTGCAAAGCTGCCTAATTAGCTCCACAGTAAAACATCACTGTCTACACGAGTGGTGCTATTAGGTTGGAGTAAACTAACTAACTCTACCGCAGGACAGTACTTGTAAATACAAGTAAATACTATCCTGCTGAGGAGTTATTTACACCACATCAACACACATGTAGACACTAATGGGGCTATGTAACAGGGTGCCATCCCAACAGGCATTTGAGAAAGGCTGTAGGCACCACAAAGTCTATCTTTATTTTGACTTATCTTCCGGTAACAGACTCCCCTTCACTCTCCTGCCACGACTTCCTAGAATTGAAAGAATAGAATCATAGAATCATGATTCTATGACTCGTTACTTTGGGTTCTTAAAAAGGAGGCTGCCCCAGGGCTTCCCAGATCTGGTCTTGGTTCTCAAGCGCCCGGAGATGATAAGCTCCTGCCTGAAGGGCTATTTTGCATAACTACGACCTTCCCTTATCGTGCCCAGTGCCTCACAGGTGTTATCTGCATCTTCTGCTCCCTCTGTTAGGGTCTCAGGCAACACAGCTTCTGCCCCCTTTTATGTAGCTAAGCTGTCCAGCTCAGACCCACTGTATTGGGCCTGACTTTGAGGCACTAGTTTCACTCAATCTGCTCTGGGCCACTAGCCCTATGTAGCTGTGCCTCCTGTGGTGCCAGGCTCTCTGGCCCCTGTAGCTGTGCCCCGTGGGTGGTAATGAGGCCTCTACCTCCCCTACAGCCTCATCCACAAACCACCAGATTAAACTGCAACATAAATACTAAACCCTAACAAAGAAAAATAATAGGGGCATTTAGCCTGCTTACCCCATGTTCCATGTTCTTGGGTCAATCTGCCTGGTGCTCTCACTTGCAGAGCTGCTTCACAGTTTCTTGGAGCCTTCAGGAGTTCACCTTCTGCCACAGCCTGGGCTTGCCCCCTTGGCTAGCTCAGCCCAGGGTTTATATAGCTCTGGCCTGAGCTCTCCTCCAGTCATGTGACAGCCCCAGTCAGCTGACTGGCCTGCAGGGCTATCCTTTAACCCCTGCTCTGCTGGCAGGCTGCACTCTGAAGACTCTGGTCTTAAAGGGGCCACTCTGCTTCCTAGGAACAGTGCTAGGGTTTCCTGTGGCTGGGGCACAAGGTACTTCAGTGTGGGGGACACCTGCTGGAAAGCCCCACTCTGGAGCACCCTCATGCCCCAGCCAGCCCCTCACATTGAGCCAAGTTGGAGCAGCTCCAGGCTGGCAGTCTGACTCCTTAGGCCCTCTGTCAGCATGGGCTGCTCTGACCCAGCTCAACATCCTGTGGTCCTGAGCACACATGTAAATGTAGCAGCCCGGAACAATAAACTCTGGCACAACATGCACTGGAGTTTATTGCTTCATCTTAATAGCGCATGTAGATGCACCCACTGAGTACCTATCTGCATCTTCAGCCATTAAATACCTTTGTAATCTGACCCTAAGTATGTAGTTAGGATAACCAAAGGAAGCAAACTTATTTAATCACTGGTCCCATCCAAGGAGTTTAAGGGAAGAAAATCTCAATTAGCCTCTTAGATTCTATGAATTAAACTGTCCTACGTTGGCCTACTTTGTGCTATATTGCTGGCATAATGCAGCTATTAAACCTTCAAAGCCACACAAGGATCAACATAGCACAGAAATAGTGCCTGGTTACAATGAGCCAATGCCAAGAAGTACTCCCCAAGGCCAAACCTCATTTAAGTTGGGAGAAGGAGCTCAGCTAGGACTTCTCTCAGCAGTTCCTGGCTGCTGCATCAGCCACTAGTAGCTATTATAATGTATAGCATCCTTCAAGGCTTTAAGACCACTCTTACTTCCCCTCCAGCTGCAAAAGTCTCTGAAGGGCTATCTGCAAAACTGGAAGAGGTAGGGCACAGCAGGGAAGAGGTGGATGTAAAGCCATTCTAGCAACTTACTCTAACTGAGGAACAGGGCATTTTCTTGGACCTGTTTCTATCTGATTGATGGCTTTTTTGTGCCATAAAGGGGAAGAAAGAAGCTTCCCTACTTTCTGAGAGTGCTTAACATATGTGACTTTGAAATTCACTTTCTGTGACTACTTCTGGCAGCAAAATTAGATCAGTAAAATGCTTAAAGGAAGTGACCACCAGGGGAGTGATACATGGCGGGAATATGAGCACTCTCCAATAAACTCTGAATGAATACTGATGAAGTCCATTTTGGGGAGCATTATGCTCTCAACTATACATTGAACACAAAACCATTTTTTAAAACTCAATGTAACCTGCTGAAAATGACTAAGCTCTGTGCGCCTGACCCTGTTTTTGTCCACATTCAATTTTAGATGTTTTTCCATTTAACCCAACCTCACTATAATCCACTTCTTTTACTTTAATGACAAGATTTAACTCTCCTTTCCCTTTGCTGTCTCTCACATCCTTACTATTTCAATACTGTGTCAGGCTGCATTTTTCCTGCTGAGGGTTTGATGTCACAAACTGCATAAATTCACTTACCAGCTGGAGCATGAATTTTAAAGGAAGTAACAGTTAAACTAGTTGAAATGTTTAGTAGTCAAATACTTAAATGTCCCATCATAAATATACACAATTAGGTATATATCTCATGAAGGCAAAGATCACTACTGAAGAAGACAGGAGATTTTAGGTCTCAGTGGGTTAACTCCACAACAGAGGATTACACTGAACCCAAATTGTGATACTTAGTATTCTCATTTCCAAGCTAGGGCTTTTTGCCAGCACTCTGCAGTGAGGTTAAATGTCACTGGGCGATAAGGCTAAAATCTCTGACTTAATCCCAAAAGGAGAAATTCTGGATAGTCTTTGGTGGATTGCTGAGTTTAAAAAGGCAAATCTGAATATGTAATAAATTAGAAATTGCTTCCTCCTCCAGTGTTATTAGTAGCAAGTATATTGCTTTGTCATACATCTGTCTCAGGGGCTAATCCTCCACACTTGCAAAATCTTCTTCTTGTAACTGCCAGTGCACTGCTGAAGCGAGGGTTTAAGTCTCTAAAACAGGAGCACAATTACTTAGATTGCAGACTACTAAAGCTGTTTTAAGGTTTTCGATTGAGAGAGGAAGAAGTTGCCATTATTTTAAAAGCAGATAGCTGATTCCAAATATAGCCATTAATTAGCATTTAATTAATGCACTTATAGACTCTTAATTCTCATATACAAATGGAATAAGCATGATGGATTAATATGTTCCCTGCCTCCCTAAAAATAAATCATCCTAAAAGCCACTCTTAAAATCTTTTCCTCAGGCATTTAACATTCTTCTCAGAGGCTGGTAGCCTCAGTTCCCTGATTTCAGCTTTAAAGTCAAATAAAAAAAAAATAAGGAAGGAGGTGTCTAATGTGGGAGTTTAGTGGATGTTAGATACCTAAATCCAAAATGGTGATCCTCAAAACCTCTGCTTAGCTGCCACCTGACTATGAACCTTTTGGGGGAATACCTGGAATTACCAAAGCTTCAGTTGTGCCACTTCAAGATGAGAAGAAAGCTTCAAAAACAGGTCCCTACCGAATCTGTGGGTGGGAACAAATAAGGAAAAAAGGGAAAAGTGAGGTTCAAAATGTGGGATCCCCAAGAGGCACACAGTGGTGTTCTGAGGAGCTGGTGAGGGGAAAAGGAAACAAAATATATGCAGGCCCACAGCTGCCTCAGGCTTGTCAACAGCTATTGGAAAGCAGAAACTAAGAGCTTCTTCATTTCAGTCCCCGGAGAGACTCAATCCACTAGGCTCTCTCAGAGTGCAGCTGACATACACAGGCAGAAGAATCAGGTTCCTCAAAAAGTGCAGTGGCAACTGTTTCTTTCTTTTAAAAAAGGGGCTAGAGCAGGTACCTACCATTTATAAAACAACCTAGTATTTAGTAGGGTTGTGTGAAATTTCGATGGCCATTTCATTTTGACACTGTTTCAACTCATTTTGAGGTCAAAACAGCAAAATCAAAATGAAACAAAGGCTGTCAAAATAGCCTTTAAACAAAATGAGGCTGGTTGAAATGTTTTGAAAATCGAAACATTTCAATCATAGTGCTGGGGATGGAAAGTCAGTCCAGCTAGACTGACTTCCCATCCCTGGTGCAAGATCCAGCAGGGTGTGGTGAGGCAACCCCGCTGGGCTGCCTCGCCATCCCCCACACTAAATCATTTGCGGGGCAGGGAGGCAGCCTAGGTGGGCTGCATCTCCATTCCCCATGCTAGATCATGCCAGGGGTGGGGAGTCAGCCCAGCTTGGCTGCCTTGCCACTCCCTGTCCTAGATCATGTGGAGGGCAGGGAAGTAGCCCAGCTAGGCTGTCCCCACACTAGATCACACCGCCAGTGTGATCTAGCATGAGGAATGGCAAGGCAGCCCAGCTTGGCTGCCTTCCAACCCCTAGCATGATCTGGGAAGTCAGCCCGGCTGGGCTGGAAATCAGCCCGCTGGGCTGAGTTCCTTTCACCAGTCCCATGGTCTGGCAAAATGGTCAAAACAGCCTCACTGTTTTGATGAAGTGAAACAGTGAGGCTGTTTCGACTTGAAATTATATTCGATACAAAACACTGTTCCATCCAGACCTCAAAACTGAAATTGGAACAGAACAGTGCCATTTCACACAACCCTAGTGTTTAGATCACTCAGGCTAAGTACAGACATTCAAAAAGCCCAAGGCAGAATTGATCCAATCTATGTGGGTTTCTCTAAGTTGCTTAAATTGAATCAGGAGCAATGGGACATGGGAATATACATTTGCCCTTTGGCAGGGAGAGGCAGGCTGATGCCTGCACTGACTGAAGCCAGAAGGTAGGGGGCACCCACATACACTCCCAGGCAAGATGGAAATTGCCAAGGGGAGCCACACACAGCTGAGTGGAGGCCATTCCTGATTGGCTGCTGAAACCCTTCCCCCCAACTCCTGGCTGTCAGCTTCAGGGAGAGGCAAACCAGCACAGAATCTCACCCCAGCCCTGCACCCCATGCCAGTAGCCTGCTGCCAGCAGTGGGGGTGGGGGGGAAGAAGAGGAAGGGGAGGACCCCATCAGACCTGGCTCCACTAGACCCAGTCAGAACAGCTGAGGGGGGCTGTGTAGCAGGGGGCTCCGTCCTCCCCCCCTCCTGCCCAACCTTCTAACAGCTACAGGCAGGAACTGTAGCTCTGAGCCACACAACTGTCTGCCATGCCCAGAACTGGGGGCAGAGGCTGGGGGAACAAAGCCTCCCACCACATGGCCCCAGCACTAAGGCAGCAAAGTTGGGGGATGGGCCCACATGGTGGGGTTCCTTCCCGCCTCCCCATTTCTCCCCCTACCTGACTGCTTGACATCTGCAGCCAGGAGCCATGGCTCAGAGCCAGGTAGCTGTCCACCATACCAGGAACTGAGGACAAGGTGGGGAAATGGAGCTCCCCACATATGGCTCCCAGCTGTTCAGGAAGGTTCTGGGACAGTCTGGGGTGGAGTTGCACAGTGGGGGGATCTGTTCCCCTGCCACCAATTCCTGGTCCAGCACACAGCTGCAGCCAGGTGCCATGGCTCAGAGCTGCTCAGCTGTCCACTGTGCCAGGAACTGAGGACAGGTGAAGGGAGTGGAGCCCACTGCATAGATCCAGCCAGGCCCCCCACTGACACATAGCAGCATACTGAGGAGGGGTGTGCAGTAGGGGGCTCCATTCCCCAACTTCCCACCCCTGCAGTTGTCAGGTGGGGGAGTGGAGGAATGGAGTCCCCCCATCATGTGCTCCCTCCACCTGTGCTAGCTGTGGGGACAGAGTAAGGGTCTCTGCTCTCCCCCCTACCATCCACCACAGACAGCTGGTAGCGGGGTGGCGATGTGGAGAGAACCCACATTGAGGAAGAGGGGAAGCTCCCACCACACAGCCTTCCCAACTATGCTGGCTTGGGAAGGCAGGGCAAACAGAGGCTTCCACACCCTGCCTTGCCTAGCCTGGCTGATAGATGCAAGCAGGATGAAAAGC